TTATTCTTGACCTCTATTTTAGGTAAATATTTTCCTTAATGAGTTAGCTTTCAAATAAAATTGGTTTCATTGAAAAACATTAAGCGGTTTGCAAGAAAATCAAATTTTCGTAACGATCGACGGGTCTGGACAGAATCTGGACAGCGCTGGAATGTTTTCTAAGTAACTTAAAATTTGGGAAAGCAAACCCATTTCTTAAAAATGTTCTAGAAACTAGATCAAATTCTCTACGAATCATAGGAAGACCGAGTCCGGTGAAGGATCTAAACTAGCCTTTCATTTTAATCTTTATGTGATATTAAATCTGGAAATATTTGTTATGTATGGATGTTTTATGTCCTGGTATTCATGAAAATGTGTTATGATCATATCTTGGCAAGATATTTTACGTGTTATGTTATGTTATTTATCTTTCTCATCTTAAGGATGCATGTTTATGTGGATATTATTATCTTGTAAGTTGGACTAACCTTGATTTAAAACTTTTTACTCAACGGGAAACCTAATTGGGAGGGTATTGGGTTTTCGAGCACTTGAGTAATGGAAAGATGAGAAAATGTGTTATATGGTTGTTGGGATGCGTCCCTAATTGGAATTTAAAGTCTTGCGCAAGTGGTTTTCGGAACCCTTGAACAGAGCGATTGTTTTCGGACCCTAGGTGGTTTGGTGTAAGGAGGGTTTTGGGCAAGGCCCTATTTCACCGTCTCTTTTGAGGCCCTGCGGTTGGCGCTACACGGTATATAACCAACGGTAGGCATCTGAGGTTAGTTCTGCAACAAAGCAGCAAAAAAGGGGGCATAACGAATAATCCGAGTCCGATTCTTGTGGTTGGGAGGATGAAATCTCTTTGGGGGATTTCTAGTTTATTAACAGTTAACTTGTAACCATTTATTTATTTGTTGTGTTGTGTATCATGTTCTACTACTTGATGTTATTTTTGTGATTGTGTATTGGACTTGGGAAAAAGGGTTGGGGTGTGTGTGTGTTTACTGGGCATTCAAAGCTCACGGCATGTTATGCCAGGTGCCGAAGAGGAACATATAGCTGGAGACGACAAGCCTGAAACATTCAACGACCTTTGGCTATCTTGGAAAAGTTAAAAAATTGTCTTTTGATATTTTGTAAGACTCGTATGAAGATTTAAATTCTCTTTGGGATGTAATGTAATGGAACAAGCTTTTGAAATTAATATTATTATGGTTGCTATGTATTAGTATTCTATAGAAGTAGACGTATACACCTTAACAGTGACTCTCCCTTGGCTACAATCAATAGTGTAGTATCGGGGCATTACAACTTGGTATCAGTGCCTAGGTTCAACCCTTAACCCACGCAACCCAATATGCGACTCTAGAAGCCCTTACCCCTTTATCTTATTTTATCTATCACGCTACTATATTTAAGGTAGACTGACAAATAAAAATCTTTTTCCACCTTAGGATGTCAGCGGGAGACTATCCAGGACTCGATATCAGTCTCGACTCGTGGGGTACTTTTCGTATGTAAGGAAGGAGGGCCATGTCTGTCAGCCCCAACTTTAGCCGCCAATGCTGTATGAGTTAGACTAACCTTGACTTAAAACTTTTAACTCAACGGGAAACTAATTGGGAGGGTATTGGGTTTTCGAGCACTTGAGTCTCCCTTCCTCTTCCTCTCAAAATTCCTCTCTTGTTCTCTTTCCTCTCCTTAGGTCGAATGTGGAAGTGTGAGAGTGTTGCTTGGTGATATTTATAGGCAACCTTGGTGTAGTTGGTATTGAAAGGTTGTCATTATAGCCTACTAGTTAGGATATGAAGGAACCACTACTTGAAAAATGAAAGGACCCTAGCCCACTAGTTAGGTTATGAATGAACCACTACTTTGAGATTTAAATGAACACTAATTGATATTAAATGAACACTAAACACTAATTGATATTAAATGAACACTAACTAGAATTAAATGAACACTAGTTGGAATATGAATGGCCACTATTAAGGATATTCCTGTTTTGATAACACAACAAAAAAAACAACATTAATCAACAAGATTCGAAATAATTCTCATAACTGAGGGGCTTTAAGCAAATAATTAAAACTTTTTTTTTTTTTTAAAGAGAAAACATTTTTCAGGGCTTCACAACCTATCCCCCTTAAAACAATTTCATCCCCGAAATTCAACTACATACTGCCCCGATGGCGCCATAGCACTTTTACCAAGTGAACCGTTTTGCCTCTAAGGTTCTTCTCTCGACTATCCTGTATTGCTACCGGTCCTTCTTTAAATGTAGCGTCTTTGTCAAGACTGATTTCGTCCCATTTGAGGACGTGTGATTAATTGGCGATGTATTTTCTCAACATAGATACATGGAAGACGTCGTGTATCCCTGCTAACTGCGGAGGTAGAGCTAGTCTATATGCTACTTCACCCACTCTTTCTAATACCTCAAAAGGCCCAATATATCATGGTGACAGTTTTCTTTTTTTCCCGAAATGTACGACTCCTCCACGCCTAGGTTGCACCTTTAGGAAGACGTGATTGCCTACTTCAAATATCAATGGCCTTCTCCTCCTATCTACATAGTTCTTCTGACGGTCTTGAGCAGTCTTTAACCGTTGTCGGATCAATTTGACTTTCTCAGTAGTTTCTAGAACAAGTTCGGGTCCTATCAGATTTGCATCTCACACTTCCACCCAAAAAATCGGCGATCTACATGGTCGTCCATATAATGCTTCAAAGGGTGCCATACCAATGCTAGCTTGGAAGCTATTGTTATAGGCGAACTCAGTTAGGGGTATGTGTCGTTCCTAACTTCCTTGAAAATCCATTGCGCACGCTCTCAACATATCTTCGAGTGTCTGGATGGTGCGTTCAGATTGTCCATCCATCTGTGGGTGAAAGACGGTGCTAAAACATAACTCAGTACCAAGAGCTTCCTGCAAGCTTCCCCAGAATCGAGAGGTGAACCGAGGATCACGGTCTGACACAATAGATACTGGAATTCCACGTAGTCAAATGATCTCTCCAATGTAGAGCCTGCACATGGATTCGAAAGTGTCGGTCATCCTATAAGGTAAGAAATGTGCTGACTTGGTGAGGCGATCCACTATTACCCATATAGACTTGCGCCCTCTTGGCAACTTAGGCAAACCTGTCACAAAGTCCGTTGTTACGTACTCCCACTTCCATTCTGCTATTGGTAGAGGTTGCAACATTCCCCCTGGTGTTTGATGCTCCGCCTTCACTTGTTGGCATGTTAGACATTTTGCCACGAATTTAGCCACCTCCTTCTTAATTCCATTCCACCAATACTGCCTCTTTAAATCTTGGTACATTTTAGTCCCTCTTGGATGTACTGCAAATGTCGAGTAATGAAATTCCTTGAGTATTCTTTCTCTAAGAGGCTCACCATTTGACACAAATAACTACCTTGGTATTCCATCTGAGTGAATTCTCGAAGTAACTCGTCACCTGGTACAAACAATCTACCTCGGTATCTTAAACTCCCATCGGGGTGAATTTCCCAGTTGAGCATGGGTTCTCTTGATTCCAGACGTCCCTTGACATAGGCTACCTCTTGATTGTGCTTCTAGGCCTCCATGATCTCATTCATCAACTTAGGCATCACCTTCTGTGCACTAAGATATGCGTTTGCATCTTGAGATTCTATTTGGATCCTAAACTCATTGAGTGTCTTAACCATATCCCACTCTTTGATGGAGATCCTAGCCATCATCCCTCTGCTCTTACGACAGAGAGCATCTGCTACAACATGGGCTTTACCAGAATGATATGAGAGAGTGAACTGGAAATCCTCAAGATATTCCATCCATCATTTTTGTCTCAAGTTGAGGTCCTTCTGTGTAAATAGATACTTCAAACTCTTGTGATCTGTGAAAATCTCGAATTGTTCCCCATATAGGTAATGTCGCCATTACTTTAGGGCAAAAACTATGGCTGCTAACTCCAGGTCATGTGTTGGGTAGTTACGCTCATGAGGTTTCAACTGCCTGGATCCATACGCGGCTACCTTTCCATTCTGCATGAGCACGCACCCGAACCCTTCTTTAGACGCATCGCAATACACAGTATACCTCACTTTCTCGTTCTGGGATGGTCAAAATTGGTGCACTAGTTAACCTCTTCTTTAACTCTTGAAAGGATTTTTCGCAAGCTTCGTCCCACTCATACTTTACTCCTTTTTGCGTCAAACAAGTCATTGGTTTGGCCAGTTTGGAGAAATCTTGGATGAACCTCCGGTAATAACTAGCCAATCCTAAGAAACTGCAAATTTCTGACACAGTTTTTGGTTGTTTCCAGTCTAATACTGCCTCCACCTTGTTTGGATCCACCGCAATCCCATTCTCTGATACTACATGCCCTAAGAATTTTACTTCATTCAACCAGAACTCATATTTGCTTGCCTTGGCATATAACCGATTATCCCTAAGAACTTGAAGGAAAGGCCTTAAATGTTGCTCATGCTCTTCTTCAGATCTTAAATATACCAAGATGTCATCAATAAATACTACCACAAACTGATCGAGGTATGGTCTAAAGATCTTATTCATTAGGCTCATGAATACTGCCGGTGCATTGGTTAGTCCGAAGGGCATTACTACGAACTCATAGTGGCCATGTCTAGTACGAAAGGCAGTTTTTGGTATGTCCTCCTCCTTGACTCGTAGTTGATGGTAACCTGACCTGAGATCGATCTTTGAATAGCACCCTGAGCCTCTAAGTTGGTCAAAAAGGTCATCAATTCTTGGGAGTGGGTATCGGTTTTTAATTGTGACTCAATTAAGTCAACGGTAATCTATGCATAGCCTCAACGACGCATCCTTCTTCTTAACGAACAACATGGGTGCTCCCCATGGCGAAATACTTGGCCTAATGAATCCTCTCTCGAGCAATTCCTGTAGTTGTGTCTTCAATTCTCGTAATTCTGCTGGTGCCATACGATACGGGGCCATGGATATTGGGGTGGTTCCAGGTTGTAGCTCGATGCTCAAATCTACTTCCTAGGTCGGTGGCAATCCCGTTAACTCTGTAGGAAATACATCTGCATATTCACATACTATGCACAGAAGTTCTAATTCTCCTTGGCCTTCCTCATTCAAAATCAGACTTGTTATCCTACCCGCAATTTGATCGCACCACTGCATCCTATGTTTTGTTGAAGCCATGGGGTCTTGTCTATCCCCCTTAAACTGGAAACGAGTCCCATCGAGTGTGTGAGCTACCACTTTCCTCTGATGACAGTTGATCACTGCTCGGTGGGCAGACAACCAGTTCATGCCCAAAATAATATCGAAGTCTGACATTTCCATGGCACGAAGGTCGCACGTTAAGTGTAGGTTTGACATTCCTATCTTACAGTCCTTACAGATCAATCCTATCCAAATGCATCCTCCCATAGGTGACATTACATTTAAGGCAGTTTCTAAGGGTTCACATACAAGTCCTAATGACTGAGCGCAAGCAGAGGATATAAAGGAATGTGATACACCAGTATCAAATAAAACATGCACCCAAGAATTGTATAATACTAAATTACCCTCAATAATAGACGGGTCTGCTTCTTTCTCTTGCAAGGCAAAGACTCTGCCGGTTGCCTTCTGGTTGCCACTGGTCTTAGTGTTTTGAGTTCCCCCATTCTTCTGGTGCTGCAGTCCAATCGATCCTGACTTGTTCGTCCAAGGCTTCTGCCCACCTAATGCCTGGGCATTTGCTCCGGAACCTCCTCTTTGGTACCTAGATGGAGGGAGTTGGGGGCATTCGCTCTTTTTGTGCCCTAATTGTTGGCAATGAAAGCACTGGATTTGTCCCATCGGCCTTTGTTGATAGCCTCCTCTCTGGATCTGTTGCTGTCGTGGTTGTGGTCTGGAGTAGGACTTTGGCGTCATGTTTCCTTTTTGGTTCCTCTGAGGTCCAACAGATGTCTGAATCCCTCTCCTCTTGTTCCAAGCCTTTCTAGCATCTGTTACTTCCCTCTCAGACTCTAACGCCGTATCCAGCACCTCAGTAAATGTAGGGAGTCGTTGTGGAAGAACTCTTCCCCTCATTGTAAGGTCCAACCCCCACTCGAACATCCTTGCCTTCTCTTCATTATTTGCTACAAATCTAGTTGCGTAACAGGCTAGTTCTTCAAATTTTGCAGCATACAGGGTCACGGTCATGTTTCCTTGTTCCAGGTTTTGGAATTCCTTGACTCGCTCTCGACGGACCGTATTTGGAAAATATTTATTCCGGGTCTGTAACCTCAGTCACTTTCAAGAGGATTACAAACGCATATCTTAGTGCACAGAAGGTGATGCCTAAGTTGATGAATGAGATCATGGAGGCCCAGAAGCATGATCAAGAGGTAGCCAAGGCAGAGTCACTGTTAAGGTGTATAAGTCTACTTCTATAGAATACCAATACATAACAACCATAATAATATTAATTTCAAAAGCTTGTTCCAATACATTACATCCCAAAGAAAATTTAAATCTTCATATGAGTCTTACAAAATATCAAAAGAGAAATTTTTAACTTTTCTAAGATAGCCAAAGGTCTTTGAATGTTTCAGGCTCGTCGTCTCCGGCTATATGTTCCTCTTCAGCACCTGGCATAACACGCCGTGAGCTTTGAATGCCCAGTAAACACACACACACCCCAACCCTTTTCTTGAGTCCAATACACAATCACAAATATAACATCAAGTAGTAGAGCATGATACACAACACAACAAATAAATAAATGGTTACAAGTTAACTGTTAGTAAACTAGAAATCCCCCAAAGAGATTTCGTCCTCCCAACCACAAGAATCGGACTCGGATTATTCGGTATGCCCCTCTTTTGCTGCTTTGTTGCAGAACTAACCTCAGATGCCTACCATCAGTTATATACCGCGTAGCGCCAACCACAGCGCCTCAAAAGAGAGGGTGAAATAGGGCCTTGCCCAAAACCCTCCTCACACCAAACCACCTAGGGTCCGAATACAACCGCTCCATTCAAGGGTTCCGAAAACCACTTGCGCAAGACTTTAACTTCCAATTAGGGACGCATCCCAACAACCATATAACACATTTTCTTATCTTTCCATTACTCAAGTGCTCGATAACCCAATACCCTCCCAATTAGGTTTCCCGTTGAGTTAAAAGTTTTAAGTCAAGGTTAGTCCAACTTGCAAGATAATAATATCCACATAAACATGCATCCTTAAGATGAGAAAGATAAATAACATAATACAACACATAAAATATCTTGCCAAGATATGATCATAACACATTTTCATGAATACCAGGACATAAAACATCCATACATAACAAATATTTTCGGATTTAATATCACATAAAGATTAAAATGAAAGGCTAGTTTAGATCCTTCACCGGACTCGGTCTTCCTATGATTCGTAGAGAATTTGATCTAGTTTCTAGAACATTTTTCGAAAATGGGTTTGCTTTTCCATATTTTAAGTTATTTAGAAAACATTCCAGCGCTGTCCAGATTCTGTCTAAACCCGTCGATCGTTACGAAAATTTGATTTTCTTGCAAACTGCTTAATGTTTTTCAATGAAACCAATTTTATTTGAAAGCTAACTCCTTAATGAAAATTTTGACCTAAAATTGAGGTCAACAATAATTTTATACATTTTTTTGAAATTTTTGAAAGTGGGCTGTAAAAACAATTTCTAGGGTAGATGTCCAAAACAAGAAGATTTATAAGAAAAAGGTTCCACCCAAAGGAAAGTTTTCGTTTCTTTTGTGAAGAAAACATGCTAACCAGCATATATTTAACTCAGAAAGTTTGCTTCAAGGTGTGTCCTTGGAAAGTTGAGAGATTGATATGGAGAAAAAGATGGTTTTGTACAGAGATAGGAAAATACAAAAGAGATAGAATCAATACTCAACTCTTAGCATTTTTAACACAAGTAACTAATAAATAACAGATTTGAAACATTATCTAGAACCCTAAGACATGTATTTGAAAAAGGAAAAATGAAAGAGAAGGTTGTGTTGTGGCTTACATGCTAAGCTTTGAACAAGATGGCTCTCTTCTCCCTTCCTCTTCCTCTCAAAATTCCTCTCTTGTTCTCTTTCCTCTCCTTAGGTCAAATGTGGAAGTGTGAGAGTGTTGCTTGGTGATAGTTATAGGCAACCTTGGTGTAGTTGGTATTGAAAGGTTGTTATTGTAGCCTACTAGTTAGGATATGAAGGAACCACTACTTGAAAAATGAAAGGACCCTAGCCCACTAGTTAGGTTATGAATGAACCACTACTTTGAGATTTAAATGAACACTAATTGATATTAAATGAACCCTAAACACTAATTGATATTAATTGAACACTAACTAGAATTAAATGAACACTAGTTAGACTATGAATGGACACTAGTTGGAATATGAATGGCCACTATTAAGGATATTCCTGTTTTGATAAAACAGCAAAAACAATATTAATCAACAAGATTCGAAATAATTCTCGTAACTGAGGGGCTTTAAGCAAATAATTAAAACCTTTTTTTGTTTTTAAAGAGAAAACATTTTTCAGGGCTTCACATTGCTAATAGCGCCCGACAATTCTCGCGTACCCCTAGCATTCATACTCCGGTTCAAAGTCCTGAACAAGGAGGCAAAGTATGAGGCATGTATTGCTAGACTAGAAGCAGCTCTGGAACTAAGGGCAAAATAGTTGGACGTCATCGGGGACTCGAACCTTGTTGTATCTCAAGCTAAAGGAGATTGGAAAGTCAAAGAAGAAAATATAAGAAACTACCACCAGACCTTGGACTTGCTGATTCCTCGATTTGAGAAATTGAATTTAGCTCATCTGTTAAGAGAGAACAACAGGTTCTCAGATTCATTAGCAACTCTATCTTCTAGATAGACATCCCTTTTGGAGTCCGGATGCGTTCGATCATCATCGAACAGAAATTTGCGCCGGCCTACAAGCTGATTGCTGCCATAGATGAGGTACAAGACGAGAACCCTTGGTATTACAATGTCTGGAGCTTCTTGGAAAAAGAGGCGTATTCACCAGGGGCAAATGCCAAGGATAAAAGGGCAATTCGAAGAATGGCTACTCAGTTCATCGTCTGCGGTAAAAAACTGTATAAGAGAGGTCATCTCAGGATGCATAAACTATGTGTTGATGCTGAAGAGTCCAAGCGCATAATGGAGGCCATCCATGGAGGAGAGTGCGGAGCGCACATAAACGGGGTAATGCTAGCTCGGAAGATCCTTAGACAGGGTCACTACTGGTCCACCATGGAGGAGGATTGTATTGGCTTTGTCCGGCGATGCCACAAATGCCAGATTCATAGAAACCGCATGAACATTCCGCCGTCGAAGTTGTACAACATGACTTCGCCATGGCCATTTTTAGTCTGGGGGATTGATATGATTGGGGCTGTCAATCCGAAGGGGTCTAATGGGCATGAGGTCATTCTAGTCGCGATAGATTATTTTACAAAGTGGGTTGAGACCTAATCTTATGCGGTGTTGAAGGCGTCGCACGTTGCCAAGTTCATTAAGAATAACATCATCTGTCGCTACGAGGTCCCGAACGAGGTCATTTCAGATAATGGTTCCCACTTCAAGAAAGAAGTGATCGACTTGTTGGAGAAGTACAATGTGACTTTTCATAAGTCGTCTACATATCGGCCGCAAACCAACGGAGCAGTTGCGGCCGCCAACAAGAACATCAAGCATAATCTGCAAAAGATGGTAGAAACCTACCGGGATTGGTCAGATAAGTTGCCGTTTGCTCTGTGGGGCTACCGGACTTCAATTTGAACTTCTACTGGGGTGACTCTGTATTCCTTGGTCTATGGGGTGGAGGACGTTCTGCCTATCGAAGTAGAGGTTCCGTCATTGGGAGTACTGGCAGAGTGTCAGATAGCCAAGGCAGATTGATAGCAAAGTAGGTTCGACGAACTCATGCTCTTTGATGAAAGAAGGCTGAAAGCACTGTACCATGTTCAGGGTTATCAACGACGAATCGCCAGGGCTTTTAACAAGAAGGTTAAGTCCAAGAATTTGAAAGAAGGAGATTTGGTGCTCAAGGACAACCGAGCTCCCATCCACGATCCTAGGGGCAAGTTCACACCTAATTGGACTGGCCCTTACATCATCAAGTCAATCTGGTCAGGTGGAGCTGTCGTTCTGATGGACCTAGACGGCCTAGAGTTCTCCCAACTGATCAACATGGACAAGTTGAAGAAATATTACCCCTGAGTGGCTCGCTAGGCCGAAAACCCGAAAGGGCGACCTAGGCAAAAGTTAGAGCATAAAAAATTTGAAATGATAAAAACTGAGCTCGCAATGTTGAAAACCCAGAAAGGGCGGCCTTGGCAAAAGTTAGAGCACAAAAGGAGAGAGTTAATACACGAGTGAACCCAAGCCGAACTATGTAAGGCTTGATTCCCATCTTTGGGATACGTAGGCAACTTCATAATCCCCCGATCAACTTCGTCCATGTGCTCATGTTTGGTCATCTTTGTCTATTCTGCATTCAGGAGCTCGATTGTGATCTCCGGTACAGTGTTATTCAGACTAGGGGCAACTTTCCAGTTGCTGGGGATCCGGGGTTATACATCTCAGTGATAGATCTCGGGTGTGTCCAGTTGTGATCCATAGCGAAAATGGTTTTGAAAAGTTTTAATAAAAGTTGATTTTGCTCAAAATAATCTTTTTACAACTTAGACCATTTTTAGACCAAACGGAAAATTTTCGGTACCCACAACCTTCAATTACTTTGATTTCAATACAGAGTTCTCCTATTCTTGAATACAAATTGAAGTTGCTTTTCATTACATCCATAAAGAAAACTTGAAAGTTCTGATTAAAGCAAATAAATCTGGGGCATAATCAGGTGTTCCTGCGTCCCCTCCCAGAGCTTGTGGAAGCCTCTGATGCCAAAGTGAGCCCCACCTGTGCCTCTTCATTGAGCCAACCTATGCACTCATCAGAAAGGGTGCAGCTGAAAGTGGGTGCGGGGGCCAAAAGCTCTCTCGTCCTCCATGTTGCAGCATACTGAGCTAGCTGTGCGCCTCGGACCGGAAATGTAGCGGGGTACTCTATCCCCTCCTCCGGACAAGTCTGATCATGACCGAACTGGCGCCGGATCCAGAATAGAAAGTAAAAGACACAGTGTTTCAAGCCAATCAACTGAATCTCGGGCTGGCGAGTCATG